AGCTCAAACCACACCTTCGATTGCAAGATGAACTGTTCTTCTTCTTTTCTTTCAGCCGTGTCTTTGGGAACAAGGGTCAGAGAATGTAAAAGGGAACGCAGCCATCTCCTGCCGGGCAGGGGCTCCAATCTTGGTGGTGAAACCCCTCAAAAACAAACGGGTGCGTTACTTGTACCCAAAGCCAAAAGGACTCTCTTAAAAATTCACCGTGTCCGTTACACCATCGCCGTGCTGTTCAAGCAGGGTCTTCCACACACTGTGCTCGGTCTTCCCATCATTGCTCCCAAAGCTGAGGTGTCCTCTGCAGGAAACAGCTTCCCATTCAGTCGGAGTGCAAAATCTCTCCTGTAGGACGAAAGAAAACCCAATGTAAGGCTCTGGGAGGAAAGGCACTGACGCCGCTGTCTGCTGGAGGAGCAGAACAGGGACCTCCTGAGAGCCACTCCAAGACACGACACCAGGGAGCTACCGCTCCAGACCAAGAGACTCGAAACCGAGCTGGCATGCTGCCTCAGGCTCTAAACCGAGCTGGCATGCTGCCTCAGGCTCTAAACCGAGCTGGCATGCTGCCTCAGGTGACAAGGGCCACTGCAAATGAGCCGGACTGGTTGTGCTGCACACCAGCATGAGACACCTCAATGGCATTCTTGTTATTTGGGATTATTAACTGAACAGAAAAACAAAACCATCTGAATTGTTTTCTCCGTGAGGTCTTTTTCATTCTTGAGTATTTTGTTGTCGTCTTTTACAACAAAGAGTCTGAGCTATTTTTCCCCCCAACGGACAAACCATTACATGTACAAGTGCTTATTAAAAGAAAGAAACTATCAGAAACAGAAACACTTCAATTTTAGGTCCAAAAATAAAAACTGTTTTAATAGGATTAATATGCTTTCCTCTATGGTAAAAAAACATTTTATAGTAGTTCATAAAATATAACTTAACCACAAAAGAAATTTCACTTCAACTACCGACTTTTTGAAAAACATGTAGAAAATATCATAATAGGCAGGTACAATCAGAGCAGGGCCTGCTTTCAAATGGTATCCTCATTCAGTTTTGAAATGTACTCAAATTTACACTTTAAAAAGCATGTACTGTACTTCCAACGACAGCTTGTGACAGCTATATCATTACAGCTCCTGCAGCCCAGGCTGTCTCCCCAGACAGAGAGTGCATTTGGTGTGCATTTCCAGGATCAATTCTGAAACGTGTGAGGGCTGAGGAGCCATGGCACATGCATGCAAACACAAAAACAGAGATGGAAAAATATTTACGTCCCAAGACGTGAGGAGGACTCAACTCCCCTCTTTGACATGAACCCCCAAGCCACACTACTGAAAGAGCGGGGTACCCGACCCCCCCCCAGCTTCCCCAGGATTGTGGTGTAGAGAGATCGAGTCTTTTACAGGGTTCGCTGTGCAGGACCCGCGCAGCAGCTGGCCCATGTGCCTTGTGCTCCGTCTGCTCGGTGATTGGAGGGCTCATTTTCACATGCAGAGAAGAGCCCTGCCTCTCCAAAACGTTACATAACACAACCTCTGATCTCTGGATCTTTGCTTTACTTTATGAGCTTTTAAAGAGCTTCCTAATAAAATCCTGCTGATGAAAGGGTACCTATAGGTGAGCCGTATTCTGTGGGAGTAATTCATTACTTTTACCCAACTAACACAATAGCCTTAGGCAAGAACCTGAAAATAGGACACTGTGGGGGCAGTTTAATCAGCACTGTAAACTGCTTAATAACAGCCAGGACTAGAGTACTAATTCCAAAATAATACACTTTAATAGGGATCAAAGCCAAAGCTGTAGCTTTCTCTTAAGCACTTGACCTACAGAATGCATCCATCTGCAATCATCTGTTGACTTTCTGCCCAAGAAACTTCAGAGTTTTATCCCAGCTGGCGGCTACAGCAGAATATCTGGAGTGCCACACACGGCTGGCACACTGGGAGACAGTGACGTCTTTTTAGCCAAGGCAGCCTGCCAACCAGGAAGGACAGACCTCAGCTGGGGGCAGAGGAGTCTGATTAGCGCCGGTACTGGGAGGCAGCAGATAACAAGCAGCTTTGCAGCTCTCCTAGCAGAGACTTTCTAACAGCGTGAGAATATCTCTGGGTGAGATGCCCCTCTCTTTTTAAGTTTCAACCTATAACTCCGCGTTTGTTTTGCACTTCCAGTCAAGAGCCAGAAATGATGAAACAGAACAGTCTTAGCTTTCAACGGCCAGTGATCCTTACCAGGAATTTCTTTTGGCACCAGTGCCAGCTTGGCATCTAATGGCATCCAAATACAGAATGATCCATTTACTAATCAAACAAAACTGCTCAGGGTGTGTAAAGTCTGGCTGGAGCTGCAGGCGCATGATCCATGCTGCTCCTCTAAAACAGGGCCGTGTAAGAGAGTGTGAGGGTTTAAACAATAAGCAAGATCAAGCTCCTTTCCCCAAGTTACGGTATGAATTGTTTTCTGGGACTTAAAAAGCCTTGTGCATCAGTGCAACACTTCCTCTACATCTAACTTCACATGAGCCACTAGCTAACGCTCTGAAACCGTGGGCAGTGACAGACTGACATACAGCATGCACGCTTTTTGCAACTTAGATACTGTTCATTCATATTTAAAGCTTGACAGCCACATTCAGGCCAGAGCAAAAGGTTGTTTTCCCCGTAATTAAAATACAATGCCTTTGATCACGCTGCCCTCACGGAAATTAACCGGTGTTAAATATGAAAATCTTAAGGCGTGAGAACTAGTGGCAGTTCTCAGCTTCTTGGAATACTTCTCCCTGATATTATCAAACGTTTTAACTGATGAGAATTTTCTCAACAGGTCTCGCAGACTACGGTTTCTGAAATCTGATATATACATTCAAACCGGGAGCTGAGAATCTGGCCAAGCAGGCCTGTCTAGAAAACCCAGAGCCATGGTTTATTCCAGACCCTGAGATCCTGGGACCCTGAGATCCCCTGGCCCAGCCTATAATGAAGTGCGGATCATGGGCAGAGGAAGCCGACCTCGAATGACCAAATGGCGCTTTTACCATCCAGGTCCAGCACCCTGATGGCCCCCTGGACGGGCTGTGTTGGCTCCGCACAGCACATGCGCGCCGGACGCAGTTCCACAGACTGCACACCCCAGGCGACCAGCTGGCTGCTCCTGGTCCTTCACAGACACTTCACAGATACCTGGGAAGCGCTGTGACCCTGACTCTCTTATCCTACACCGTGTGGCCTAGGAAAGATCTTGTGCATCTGCTGAACACGTGGTTTTTCACTCTTCTGCCCAGCTTCGATCCCTTGTGGTTTTGCGTGATCCTTGGTTTATTACGGCTTCTGGACTGCTCTCCCGCAGGAGGTGACACACACAGCAGTGGGAACGGGATACAAATCAGTCGCACAGCTGTCCTGAATGCAAAGCAGGCCTGTGTTGCCCCAAGGCTGTACCGAAAGGGCTGGACTGGCTCTCACCGGTTACCTTTTTTATATCCCAGGTCATATGTGAAATCCCAGGAATCCCATATCAGGAATCCCAGGGAAAGGACTCTCCTAGTGGCAACCAACTCTCTTTCTTCCTCAACTCAGCCGTGCAAAGACTTCCATCACCTCCCATCCCCAGATTACAACCTCAGCTTCCTGCTGGGATTGGCGGAACAAGCAATTCAATTCCTCACACCCTCCACGGCAGGCAACCCTGCCAGGCGCACAGGGAGGGATGGGGCACCAAATGAATACTTCAGAACCACGGGGCCCAGGAGGATCAGCGTTTCCAGTGTTTCTCCTTCACCTTCCTGCAGTCCCCCCTCGTGAAGCAGGGTCTCAAGGAAGCACGTTCACTAGTACAGGAATAACGAGCAGCCCCTGCAGGGAAATGAGCACACTTACAGGAAGGCTAAAAGGCAAGCAAGGCACACTGACTGCAATAACTGCTCCTTTGAAAACAAACTCTTCAGGTAAGCCAAGCACTTGGAGTTTCACTCGCTGTTCTGCTGTCTGCACATTTTCTCCCCCCTTTAGCTTCTTAATCTTAGCACCAAGAGTTATCTTCCTGTTCCACTGTGCAAGAAGGCTTCCTTCCATGTACGTCACGGCCGCGCGGACTGTACCGCAGCTCTGTCTGAAACGCAGAGTGCTTGCTCGCTGTCACTCCTGCACAGGTACTGGAACGCACTAGGCACTGCTGACTTCAATGCACTGTCCTTAAGCAGTGCGGGGGCTATTTCCACTGTGCGCTCAAAGCACAACACTTTTAAGCACAGGCGGCAGGCTAATTCAAACTCAAGGGCAGCGAAGCCTGGGGCTTTGTTTAAATCCAGTCTATTATTTATAGCCGTAACCCTCTGCCCAGTGGAGGAACTGCAAATACTGTAAGCCCGTTTTCTAAGGTAGTGCAGAAAGGATGTCGCAGAGTACAAAACAAGCAGATCCCATTCCCTGGGAACTGGACATAACCAGTTTGGAGCTCCTGCGATATATTTACTAAAGTATACACAGTGTATTTAATCAGGATACCCCAGGCTCGTGCTTTCTGCTCCTGAAGGAAATGAGCTCCCTCCTTGTCTGAAGCTAAATGTTAACAATTAAAATGTGTAAAGTCTGGAAGAGATGCACAGAGATGAAAATATAAATAAAAAAAACACTTCACTGAAATTCACTTTCTGGAAAACGCTTAGCTTGGTGTCACCTGGATTTTAGCTCTGAAAATCAGCTACCGCTGCACGTACAAACACGCTCACGTGCAGCAGTGATGAATAAAATGAATTGAATCGATTGATCAACGTGGTCAGAGCAAAACCTGGATCCACAGCGCGGACTGTGAGTTTGGTTAAAACCAGCGGGCTGGCTGAATGGTGTCGCTGTGTGTAAAAGTCAATGTCTGTCTGCTAACCGACTGGAAATATTGCCGTCAGGGGGAGATACTCCCCACAAAGAGCATGCGAGCACAGGCTCAGCCGAGCACAGCCAGCCAGAGATGAGCCAGCCTCAAATCCACCTACCAGCAGAGGGCGCCCTCCACCTGGAGACTGCCTGCCTGGGAGTCCAGACTAGTGAGGCAGTTCTGTTGGTCTACCTGTAGACCGGAGTTTGTAAGGACAGCTGACGTCCAAAATCATACTTTTCTGAGGGAATAACCCTCGGTTCGAGTCAGTTCATGGCGTCTAGTTTTTGCTCCAACACGAGTGGTCACTTAAACAACCGATCTCATTATTTCCCTGCACCTGGAAAGGATTACTCCCGACATCCTCTTCATTCAAGATCCTGCTGCCTACAAAACACCTCGGAGCCCGGGCATTCACCAGGAATAACACCACCCAAGAACTGAGCTTCCTGAAAGGCTTATGGAGCGTTTTAGTCTCAATAAAATTCGGCTTCAGCCGCTCGGCTGGGGGCTTGCCCCCTGGCCAGAGGAGGAGGGGGCTGGGACCCCCTGCAGAGTGAGGGGTGACCCAGGGGCAGCTGCAGAGGGGGGACGCAGGAGGCGTGTGAGGGAGTGAAGGAGTTTATGTCCAATTCTCACCTTTTGTTTTATTAAGGTGAGGAAACAACATCGGGAATGATTCTGAATCACCAACAGCTGAGGCTGATTAAACTTGGCTGTTGGCACCCCTCCCGCGCCTTCGTTATAAACTCCACGGAAATGTTCATTAGGACAGCAGTGTGGAGGACCGGTCAGGACTGGGGATGAGGGCTGGAAGGGTGTGGGTTCAAACCCAAGCGAGGCGATGTCATCGCCCCATTAAACGAGGCACTTCAGCCAGTTTACAGCAATACAGTGCCCTGCTGTGGATGTAACTCAGTCTGAGACTCCATGCGGACGAAAAGCCTCGGTATATTATCATTATTAAGAAACCTATGAGAGCTCAGTGGAACAGAGAGCGGACCAGCGGGCGACATCAGCAGGCCCTCCAGGAGTCTCACACCCCCGCCTAATGAGACTTGATTAACGAAGCAGCAGACGGTCCGGAGTCGGACTCCCACAGCACCCTCGGGACCCACGGGTCAGTCATTAGCTAAACCGGCGTGGGGCTACATGTCGCTGCCCTATTCGCCCGAGGTCCCGGTTAATACCTTTTCCTAGCTACCCCCTTTGTTAATCCGATAACACAGCACCAGCACTCACGTTGCGAGGGGCCTGGCGTGTTTTCCCCCACACTGTGAACACCACCTGCGCAGCTCACGGGCAAGACCCCTGCCTGACGACCCGCCGGGAAACTCCCAGGCCAGGAAATGCCGGGAAGCGCCGGGAACAGAGCAGAACTCACTCGGCGAACAGGCCTGAAGTCAGGACGACCCTCGCCCGCACTTACACGGCCACACTCGCTCCGTCTGAACAGCTGCCCCGGACACCAGTGTTGCAGGCGCGTCATTACCTCTTCAGCAGGCTAACCGCTGGGACACACGCGTACTGGTGACACAGTAACCCGCGCTCCTCGTCTTCAGACGCCGCGGGTTTTCTGCCCCAGGCACCCGATTCAGGGACGTGCCGGGGCCGCGGACCGAGGTGAACAGGTGTGCAGGTCTCACAAACAGTCCATTGCTGCGAGTCCTCCCGTTGCCCTAATTTCCCCGACGCTCGCCTCCTTCCCCACAGCCGGGAGCTGGACGCCGACATCAGCGCAACGTGAGTGCGGGCCTCCCGGGCCACGCCCCCTCTCCCCGGATTGGGCACTCGCGTCCGCCACCTCGGATGTGATTGGCCGGTGGGCCGTGACGGGGGCGTGTCCCCCCTCCTTGTTGGACTCGTCGCCACTATCTCGATTTCCTCACGTGTACCTCCATGTTACACAACAGCGGAAAGCCTGGCCCACATTACGGGGCAGAGGCGGCCAGGGCGCATGCTCGGGGGAGGTGGCGTCATCTCTTTCTGGCTGAATAAAAAAGATAAACTAGTTCAGGAGGTGAGGCGAGCGGGTGTCGTGTCGGTGTATGCACCGCAGGAAGCGCTCGTCTGTTTCTGCTAGGATAACAAGAAACACGTTACTTTTATTTTAAGGTGGTATTTACTTCAAACAGGTTGTAGAGCTGAGCAGTGTCTCTGTTTTTTTAGTCCAGTTCGGAGCCCGGAGACGTGTGACCAGGAAACACACCGCCGAACTGAAGAACAGATGATTTATTGAATGAAAGTCGTTTTATTAAGCATCACCCGTGGACCATTAGATAGGTTTGCAAATAACAGGGTGCAGTTGTCTTTAAAAAAATACAATTAATTGTAAAAGCTGCGCTCTCGGAGCCTTCGATTCAAACGTTTCATAACGATAGTACTTTTATACAGACTTTCTATTCATTTTATTCTATTCATTTTCTATCAATACACATCTATAAACATAGGCGTTATATTTTTAAGACCCGACTTGTCAGCGCAATTACCTGTGTATAGGTGCGCGTTATTTTTCAGAATAGAGCGGTCTAGAATGTGTCGCAGTGAGAGAGACATCTTTTTAGCGCTTAAAAACTGCAAAACGTACCGTGACCAAAAAGGCATCAAAGTTGTATTATAGTTTTAAAGGCATTCTTTCATATGGGAAAGAGCACAAATGTTTTGGTTAAAAAATAAAGTCTGTAGGCGATTGAGGCCAGGAAGAAGCATCAAGTCCTTGACTCCTTACCCTCGATTTCCAAAAAGCCCTCTCGAAGACAGACACAGCTCTGAACCTCAGGGCCCGGAGTCCCGCAGGTTCGTGTCTAGAAAACATTTAGCCGAGGAGGGCGGCGCAGTGGTTAGTCTTTCTGGGCAGAGCTGCCCAATCCAGATCCCAGCATGCCTGCAGGTTTTCAATCCAGCTCGTTACTGGTTCAACTGGACTAATTCAACATCTCCCAGCTCTTCGGGTGCTTTGTGTTTCGAGTATTCTTAAGGTATTGGCCCTCCAGGGACTGGGTCTGAGACCCAATCCTGCCTGGGATGCTGCGATTAAAAGGCTGAGCATTGTGATTGTAGAGAATATAAAACCCAAGGTCTCCTTTCTCGCATGGACGCCTTGTTTTTCATCATTCACCGTGGTCTGTCTGCAGGCGTCTAAGCGTATTTTTTTGCTCAACAAGCAGGACGAAACCATCTACTGCAGAGGCAAACTGGACAGCTACACCCTTCAAATCCAGCAGTGGAGACCATGGTCCCCGTTCGCAGTTCGAGCCAAATCCTCTCGATGAGCAAATTCAGCCCCCGGGGGTTGAGCCTCCGTCTCCCGAATAGGTGATCCACAGTGGAGAAATATTAAAGCTTTCAAGTCTGACATTTTAACATTCCCAACACTTGCCTCACTGTATCATAATTTTTCATTTACTAATCTTTTATACCTGAATGCTGACATGTACATGCTTTGTTTAAAACGGTTTCAATCCCCCCAAAAAGTAGATTTCCGTAATTTTGTGCACATATTCAAATCCTGGACGGATTAAGTGTACCCAGGGAAAGTTGGCCTGATCCACATAGCAACAAACTGTTGCCAAAGCAAACATCTGTGCAAGACAAATATTGTCCCGATCCGACCTCCCTCCTCCGACATCCGGAAGTGCCAGAGGTGGAATTCCAACATCCTTCGCGCAAGAGCTCGGAACGAACCTTTCTTTCGTTTCCGGAGAACCTCCTCCGTGAGCTTTCACTCCAGAAAAGGAAATAAAAAAATCCTTCGGACACGTTAACAGCAACAACGACGCTGCCTTCGGAAAACCAAAAGCAAGTGCAGATCTTTCAAGAATGGGCCAAGCAGTCCGTGAGCCGAGACTGAGCCAACCCCAAAAGCAGTCAAAACTCGGATCGAACGAAATTCTTTTATATGTATATACAAAAGAAATGCAGGGTTGGGACTTCAGAAACATCGGTTACCTTGTATCTTCCAGCGCCAGGGTGCATGTTTTCAGCGGTTAGCCTCGTAGGGGCAGAGGTCTGGCAGGGGAAGGCAACCAGGAGAGGTGTCCAAGGCCTGACCCCTGGAGGGAGAGGAAGGGCCTACATGCTAGATTTTACATAAGAAAACCTTGACAAAACTGCTCGTCTTTTAGAACTCTTGATCTACACTATGGTCTTCTGTGAATATAACAAACGTGTCGAGACTCGCAAAGGCAGTGTCAGTGTGTGCTGACAAGCGCAGCCCCAAGAACACGTGCAAGAACGTACTGAAGCACATTTAAACACACCCCTGGCGACAAGGATTGTGGGATGCGACGAATTTAATGCCCTGCTCCCACACCACTTCTAGAAATGACTGCGATTTAAAGAACAATGCTCTAAAACTGCTCCAACTCCCTTACACATTTTTTACACAGTTACACAGCCTGCTGTAACAGCTTGTTTTCCTAGGAACCTGCATCGTGCCGACGTCCTCTGTCTGGAGAGTGGCGCTGTGTGGCTCTGAAGGACTGGGACTGAATCCAGACTGGAGTCGGGAGTTCACCCACCAGCCTTGCTATTCTGTGTCCCGCTATCCCTCAACGTTCATACGAAAAAGTAAAAAACAACAACAAAACAATCAGTAAATCCATGATGCGTTATCCATTTTATTAAGCTACAACAACACAAGCAAAGTTTGGTGCTTAACAGTTTTAAGGCAAATATTTCCAGTAATTGCACTTGTATTATACAAAACATTCAAAGACCAGGGTCTGGCCTGTTTGGCACTTTCTACTCCAGGAATGACTACAGAAAGACAGCTCCAGAGGTCACGGGCACTTTTACAAGCATGTAGGGGAGGCGACAACTGTTCCTTATTCTGCGGACAGTGGCAATGAGAAATGTGGTTCAATCTGGTAGGAAACCACACCGCATAGAGAAACAGTTCTGTTACAGCCGTGCGTGTGGAGCTGCCTTCTGGTCTTAAGACGAGGGTGTTTTGAAGGCACTAAGGAACTTGTCAGTTTGGACGATTCTGTCCATCGTGGCAGGCTGCGTTTCTGGCGGCTCTCTCAAGAGCCGTCACTGCTGCCCCCCCGACTCCTGCAGACTCCCAGACAACTCGAGCCACCTTGAACTGTGCCAGCCAAAGGCAGTCAGAAGATAGCCTACGGTGCTTTTACCTTGGAAAGCACCCATAAGGATGTTTTTTTTTTCTCTTTAAACTAAAAACTGAAGCAGCAATTTATTTTCTTTTTTTTTTCCTGAAATTCCCCAGTATTAATCGGTCTTGTTCAGTGCTACTGCCCCTGTCCCACTGAGAGAAGGAGGAACTGCGGTCGTGCTCCTTTGACACAGTAAGCTCTCTGAGCCATGTGGTTTTCTGACACGCAGGGAACACCCTGAGGCCTAACTCGTGCAACTGGACATCTGAAGCTCACTAGTGCCCAGGGCTTGATCCTGTGCTCTGCCTGGAGGGGCTCAGCCAGCAGTGCACTGCTGCTCCAGACACAGGGTTCACTTCTAAAGTACAATTAATCATAGGGGCAGAATTCTGCTGCAGATTTTCAAACTGCAAGTAATGTTTCATGTAAGACCGGCATCATTTAATGTTTAACTGAAATAAGGTTTAAAAAAAAAAAAGATGTGTAGCGCATTTTGGTTTTATGGAAGTTTAAAAAACACAGAATTGGTAGTAAGGTCTTCACCAGTGCCTTTGAATGCTTAACCCTGTACCACAAAGTGTAATCAACTCAGACATATGAAAAAGGAAAGTTTCACTACTTAGAACAGGGCTAATAAAACCCAAGACAGAAGAGAACGATGCATATTGATTGTGTAAAACCCTTTACACAATTACTGATTTACACCGACAGCTTATAGGTCTGGAATCTTAAGTACGATTCTGTGATTGTGTTCTTCTGGGTGAAATTACGATACTGTGTCACCCACCCCTGTACTTCTTCTCTCAAGAGTTTCTTCAGATGACCCAATCCCAGAAAAATGACTGAGAAACATCCAAGGCAGTGGAAAAACGCCAGGTAAGCAAGAGTTAACTACACACTTTTCTCTTCTGTCCTAGTCAAGCTGTACTCAAATCATGCCATGAACTCTGAAGTTGCAGATTTGTAGCAACAGGAACCCAGATCTATTCTTCTGCCCGGTGTTAATGTCTACGCAGAAGCAGTGTTACAGTGAAGGTCTGTAGCCGGGCCACGGTGCAGTGACAGGCAACATCGTCTGCAAGACAGCTCACCTCCACGCTGGCCGAGCAGCGCTTGGCCGTGCTCAAGGCGAACGATGGAGTGTAAATTTAGCAGTAGTTAAAAACAACAAAAAAATTGTGAAACAGGCACTTCTTGAATCAGACGCCCCGAGGGCCATTCATCCACATTCAAAATCATTAAAAAAAAAACAACAACAACAACACCTGTGCAGTATATTACAGATAAACAGGAGCTGTGGTTCTCAGCAGGTTAGAACAGTTTAGTGCTGGAATGCGGACCTCTCTTCCTCCGAGTCACTTCATTCCTCGGCTCAGGTGCTCTAGGACACATTCCAAACTGCACAAACAAGAAAGCCAGGTTTAACAGAAGACAAAGCCAGTGTGTGAGTATTTCATTCCTTCCCGTTCACAAGGTCAGCTCTGAAGCACCTCGACAGCTTCGTCATATTATTTAGGCGAGACATAAAAGAAAGCCAGTTAGATCACAGGTTTTATTACTCAGCTTTAAAAATCACTCAAACCTTTATAACAGGCACTTCTGAATAGCTACGTATTGCCAAAGAGAATGGAAGGGTTGTGATGCACACTCCGATGAGGAAGACCATGTGATTACACCGCAGGAAGGATGGGGAGTGTGTCTCTCCATCACACCAGCACTTAGCAGGAGGAGGCTAGGCCACATCACCGAGAAACAAAAGAATCGATTTTCGAAGCGGGGCAATTTAAATATTTGCTCCAAAATATGGCTAGCTTGTTTGTAAAAAATTCTCAAAAGGTTTCTCCCCCTTGGCTGTAAGCCAGAGCAAGGTCGTACAAAAAAAAAAACCCAAGTTCGATACTTACTGATGATGATAATGATGATGATCAGAATCACAGCTATCAAAATTGCCCACATCTGTGCATGACAAAGCAGACAAAACCCGTGTTAGATTCTCAGTTTCTCTCCACTGTGCCAAGGCCATTACTTAGAGCGGGTTGTGGCACGTATAGTATTACTGCCGCAGAATGAGTCTGTAGAAAAGTATCAAATACAACTCAGGGGAAAGACCAGACATGTGCTGGTCCACAACAGGGGGCGCTCACCCTGCGGTCTGTGTGGTTCCTAATGCCCCAGTATAGTGACGGGGACACTATACCGTAAACAGGCGCCGTCCTTCGGATGAGACGTAAAACCGAGGTCCTGACCCTCTGTGGTCATTAAAAATCCCAGGGTGTTTCTCGACAAGAGTAGGGGCATCACCCCGGCGCCCTGGCCAACCTTCCGGGGTGACGGCTCTCACTCTGTCCCGATTCGGGGGGGCGCCAGTCTCGGCAGGGCTCCTTCGGGGTTTGCCTGCTCCTGTGTGTCTTGCTAGGTGCGTCCCTGCTGCCTGCCTTTCTTTCCATCAGTAGGATTAAGTCTTGGGTGCCACTTCCTACTCCTCCACTGCTGAGCCACCAGAGTCCCAACAACCCCTCTCTCCAGCCCCCAAACGACTTGGGGACGGCAGGACGTTCTGCCCCTTGATCCCGTGTGGGGCAGCGAATCACCCAGCTGGGTCACCGCTCTCTAGCTGTTCCTTTAGCTCCCCTCCTTTCAGCACGTTTGTGAGATGCACACTCATCCCTCTGTCAGCGCTGGGTCCCGTCTTCTCCACCGAAGACCTGCACTCGCAGAGGTGCACAGCAGACTGCTCCCTCACCCAAAAGGCTCCTTTGTGTTACACACCTGGGAATACTCCACCTTCAGTCTCCTCCAGATTAAGCTGAGGCTCTCAGGTGGAATGCCATGACGCTATTTGAGCAGCCTGCTTCTTGGGGGGAGACTGTCGCCCCCATGTGGTCAAGACTGGGAACCATTCTATAGGTTTACAGTATATGGCACAGATGTTTACGCAGGGAGTCCCAACTCCACTCCTGGTGGGCCAAATTCCCACTGGTCACATAGGGCTCTCTGAGTCAGCAGAGCCTACAGAGCTAGAAAATGCTTTTAAATTGCTGTCATTAAGCCAACCATTAGTTCAATTAGACCATTTATTGGTATCTTTGGTATCTAGGCATTTTTAATCTTGTTCCTACGTATCTCGAGATGTGATGGTGAATTTACTAGATCTGGTGGGCACGTCAGTCCTGTTTTTAGTCATGAGTGATTTCAATCCCATCCTGCACTATTTCACATCCCATCGTCCAGCCCCTTGTCTCCTCTAAACCTTCCCAGACTGCAAAGGTCTGCCTGTCCACTCCATGCGCGTTTATACAATGATCCAAGACTTCCTCCTGCATTAGAAAGAGTCCTGATACAACACCCTGTGGCACTCTGCTCCCCCTACCGCGAGAGCTGGGTTTCAGATGGTTCATTCATCATAATAAACTGCTCTTATACACCTAAGCGATGTCTTTTAATAGAGGAAATTCTAGTTTGCTGTACAAAGACAGTACACATAGTACTGAAACTGGCAAACATTTGGGTCACTCTAAGAATCTGAAGAAAAAACAGGTTTGTTGCATGGCAACATGGCAAACCCCTCCTAGGAAGAAATGGTAGTACTAACTACACTGCTTCTGTTGTGCATCCTGCACTAGATACACACCGTTTTTACTCCAATGGTAACTTGTATAAGTTTGAGGAACTGTACCGTCCTTTGGATGAACGCAAGTCACCCTGGGTAGCCACGTCACTCCCACTGCGAGGTAATCAGTAACAGTGTTGGGGTAGAAAGTGTGGGAGCCGCACCCCCCCGGTTGCCTCACCTTGCAGTTCTTCCACCAGTACTTCCTCTTCAGCTTGGCGGCGCTGGTCTCGAACTGGGAGGCCCCGGCCTGGAGCGCGTCGGCCCGGTCGTCCAGCTCCGACAGCTTCTGGTCTCTCTCCAGGACCTTGTCCACGTTGACGCGCATGATGTCCACCACCTGCGGACAGACACAGGGAGCAGCATGAGCGCACAGGGACTGCTGTGCATCTACATCCGCCAGCCCGACAACCAGGCAGGAGGACATCCGAATGAGTCCCCGAGAGATGATCACAGGTAACGTCCTGCAATATTACGCTCGTTAACAGTGATGAATGGCGGTAATTTTCTGTCTGTTAGCGTTGGTTTGCCAAGTGCATGGTGTTCTTGGATTGATATGGTCTGTGGTTTAATGGGCTAATAGATTATGTTGTATAATGATCTCATTTGTGAACACAAAGAAATTAATTGATATAAAGCATAATGCAGACAAAGCATGCAGTTGTAATTTCACCCCCCCAAAATCACTCTAAGAGCTGTGATCTGGGCCAGCACACCCATGACAACAAGTATATTGATAAACTTTTTTTTTTTTTAAGTGCATGTTCCACCTGATGCACCTTTTCAAAATCCACCACCTCCCTCTTTCTCCTGAGGGATCAAACATCCAAATCATCTGGGTGACTCCTTACCTCCTAAGTCATGTATAACACCACACTTCCTCATTAAACTGTTACCGGTTTTGGAGATCCCCCAGTTTCAGAGGATTCCTCTTGCACTGATTTTCTCCCATGTTGTGATTTATTAAGTAACCAGGACTGCCCTGTGCCTCTGCAAATACATGCTAGTTAAAACAGGCGTTTACCATGAATAAAACATTTTGTTCCTGGAAAACCCCTGGACAATCTCTAGGGGTCTCTGATCCACTGGCTGGAAATTACTGGCCTGAATGAACAGAACCCGAAGATCTAAGATGAAAGCGTGCGTGTGAGAGGGTGACGAATTATAAGTCTCGCTCTGCCGTCACGTGTCCGATTCACAGTGACATGAAGGCGTCTGCGGATGCAATCAGGGCATGCTTGACAGGCACCGACCTCCCCTCCCCCTGTAGCCCCGTCCCCGCCCCTTTAAGACAAGAGTGCCACGGCCGCCCCTTTAAGAGGTGGTGAGGACAACGTGGAACTCCATGTGGTGGTTATGTAACCGAGGAGGCTGTTGCATAAGAGCCAGGGAGCCTATGACAATCGCCATAGACCGGCGGGCTGGGAGGCTGAGGCAGGCTCAGCTAGCATGTGACCTGCATGCACTCAGTTCCTCAACTTGTTGATGCTGCTGGGGATCAGCATTCTTGTCCCTGAGCGAACGTCACTATATATAGGGTACCAGGGCAAATGTGCCTTAGAAATTTGCAAGAACTTTAAATCAATTCTATTCTAAGATTTGAAATTTCAATTTCTGTTTTCTTTTTAATAGATTTACCCATCTGTCTTGAAGCAGATCAAGATGCTTGAGCAGTTTCTTAATTAACCTAAGTAAGGGGAATTACAGTGAGGCTTAATTCTCACAGCACGCTGCTTTTCATCAGCCCTACAGAAGCTGCTCAGGGGAGAAATTTAGCATCTTAGCTGGGACTGTTCTGAACGGTGTCACACACATTTAAAAATGTCGGATATCCTCAAATCAAAGCACAAAACAAATGGTAGAAATAATAATACTAACAAGCACGCAGTTCAACTCATCTAGCTGCCATTAAAAGCTCAAAGAGTTCAAACCAAAGCTAATAGCTGGGACTGTTCTGGGACTGAGAAACAAGACGAGGGTGAGAGAGAGAGAGAGAGCCAGGGTATTATTATATTATATTAATACCCTGGCTCTCTCTCTCTCTCTCACCCTCGTCTTGTTTCTAACGGTTCTGATTTGTTTCCACACTAACGGCTGTGGATGTTTCTCAGGACTTGCTCCCAGACATCTTGGTTAAATTTCCTCAAAACGGATGGAGGATGAGGGCAGTTCGATTCTGGTTGTTTCATACAGTAATGTAAAATGTGGCACAACCACCACTCTCCTTTCCAATGGGTTTTTCTGCCTTTGGTCAAGTTTGCTGTAGAATCTCCCAGAGAACGATTCCTTTCAGAAGTCCGGAGCGCAGTTATTTAGCAGCAGGTTGCACGACCAGGAAAGCTCACCATCAGCCAAAGTCTGGCGTCCTCTTAACCTTTGGCACCCTTACCTGAACTCGAACAACAGGGTATGTTTGGTTTGTTCTGGATGAAACAACCCAAAACGGACATCTAGTGTACATTAGGGGAAGATTTCAAAACAACATGTGTCATTAAAGCGAAAAGGCACCCACTTCGTATGCCACTACGATCCCAGATCCCCACGGATGTGCTCCTGAATGGAACTGTCCAAACACTGGGGTTTTCAGCAGGACACATGACTGGGCCCCTGAACTCCCGCTGGCCCCCTCCATGACGGCCGAGCGCTACAGACGGGCAGCGACACAAAAGAGCGCCGTCACACGGGAACGGCGGCTTCTCCTACCTCGTCCACCTGCGCCTGGGTCTGCTGCAGCCGGCGGTTCGAGCCCGCCATGTTGGATGGACTGGAGCCTTCTGGAGCTGCCCTGTCAATCAAGCCAAGCACACAGTCTCAGGGCAGGTGCCAACAAACACTGCCGTCAGCCCACAGCTCCCCCTGCTGGGCTGGAGCGGAACGAGTCCTCCGCAAAACAACCGAAGCAGCAGGATGAGCCAGCAAGATCATTCTGGCTCAAGAGAGGACATCCATGAGGATTAGTTTTAGTGCCACCATACACAAGCTGAGGTCAGATCAGCCTCAGCTGGGTCACCTGGGGGAGGGCGGACCCTGTTGAAATACCTGAAACACTCGTTGAACCCAGAAACATCACTAATGAAGGGTCTAGGAGCATCAGAAGACAGCTATGATACTGAACAGCTCAATCGTCTCAGAAGGCTGTGTTCCCAAATGCATACTCTGTGCTGCATACTCCCTATCCTGACCTAGCAAGTGTACCCTTTTGACTAACACAGCACTGTATTTGAACCCTCTTTGGAAACAGTTTTGTCAATAAATTCAAACATAAAGATGCTAATAATAACAAACAAATCGTCAGCAGTATCATCAGAAACACGTCCCCATCAATGTGGCGGACACACCCGTTTTTTGGAGCTCAAGCCTGTGAAGGCAGTAGCGATGGGTAAGTTTCAGCCCCAGGCTATTTCAACAGAGGGTGGCGACACTGGTTTCATCCCAGTAGGTGGAAAAAAACCTCTTTCGTGAAGGTACGTTATAACAGATTCTATGACTGCGTCCGCGCCCAAAACTCATGTGAAACTCGGTCCTGAAGACAGCCTGTTGCTGTGTCACCGAAGCAACGTTCCTCATTTATTGTCAGGTTACACGGCATTGGAGCAGTAGGATAATTTCAGAGAGGAAATACAGGTCTCTATATTGTCCTTTTGGGTAAAACGACAGAATTGCTGTGCTAGGTCTGTGACATGCTGCCCGATTTCACACTTAATGGTGTCATGGTGTCATAGCACCAAGGTTGCTCGTGAATTCCCGCAGGCTTGGAAGAAGTTCCTTCCCCGCAAATACCTCGCAGTCACCGATTTCACATCGCCTGCGCATATTCCGGCACGTTTTGATCACAGAACTCCACAATCACTTATGAAGCAGCCAAACTTCAGCTGTTGTTCAAGTAGGCAAAACTTATAAAGCAGCATGTTGCCTTGTACAGGATCTCCACACACCGCACGTATGTGAGGAGGGCGGCAGGACAGCGCAGAGGTCGAGCTGCTGCCTCGCCGCGCTGGGGCCCTGGGTTCAGTTCCTTCGGTGCTTTCTGTACGCTCTCCTCGTGTTCCAGTGGGTTTCCTCCCACACTCCGCAACTATACTGGCAGGTCAACTGACTTCTAAGAAAACCGAACCTGGTGTGTATGTGTGTGCGTGTCCAGTGATGGACTGGCATCCCACCCAGGGTGTACCCTGCCTTGTGCCCATTGCTTGCTGGGATAGGCTGCCCCCGTGATGCTGAATTGGCAGAAGCAGTTAGAAAAAGGATGGGTGAATGCAAGATGAGCCAAGATTACCATCCAGAAGTATCTGTATTACCGCAAAATACCCGATGCCGACAATTCTCTTCACTGACTCCACGGGCCAGGTTATCGGCGTGTCGTGAGAGAGCATTGATAACGGCACCATCTGTTTACCTCTGGTCTGATCCTCAAGCGCGGCGATTGGCGATCATAATTCCCCAGTAATCCTGACCTTGAAACTAGGGAATTCAGCACAGCTTCAAGAGCCTTGATGTAATTCTCTGTCGAGTCTTGCCAAAAGCAGCTATACTGCCTGTTTAAAAAATTCTGATTTGTTAAGTTAACTGCAGCTAAAGGTCAGGTTTAAACTGCAGTCAAGTCTTACTTTGTGTGTTAATTTATGTTATTTGAGTATCAGATGTGCTTTTGTGTACAGCTGGCGTACACAAAAACTATTTTTTTTTTTTAATTTTCACAAAAACTTTATTGGAAAATCTAAAGAACAGCAAGAACAGTATTTGGAGTTACTGCTTCCTTTATAAACCACTAAGAATACATTAATGTATTCTTTTCCCCACAGATACAAAAATTGGTTTTAATGATTACGGACTCTCACGTTTATTCAAAATCCATTTCATAAAAATGTCCTGAATCTCCAGTACTTATTGTTCCCAGTAGAGGGCGCAAGAAACTTTCACAACTTTACACAAACTCCAGACACAGAAGACCTCGAGACAGTCCCACGTCACAGATGTCGTGCTCCACAAACAAAAGCAGGAGATATACATTAACGTGCCGCTAGCGTGTTCCATGGAGGAGGAGGGGGGCCCTCGGACCCCCAGAGTTTAATTCCCCCCCCATTGTGAGTTTTTTCTCTCCTCTGTGCCCATGGTCACGAGCTGCTTGTAAGCTACAGCACAGTTCTGCAAGGCGCTCTGTGGCAAACCGCTGTCAAGATTGCTACAGCACATCAAGGGGCGGCTGAACGATGACAATGGGACGTTTCTGCTATTCCTTAAGAAAATCTAATAGCATCAGCTCAGAGCACTGACCAGCAGATTCAAAAACAGATTCTTCCCCCAAGCACTCCGCATCTTAAACAGCTCAATTTGGCACCTGCACAAGTTAGCATCTGCACTTTAAGGTACTGCACTGTTGTCTCAATTTATTGTCCATGTCAGTTTGTCATTTGTGCATATATACTGTATATTTTTTCTCTCTCTAATGTTACTGGGTACAGCTGAACGAGTAAGCATTCCAATACACTTGTGGTATACGGCAAATGAAGAAATCTTGAATCTTCTACACTGCACTACACTGGTTCTGACTGTAACCCGACTCTCCCGGCCCAGATGCGCTCAGAGGGCCCTGGTGCAGCACACGTCTGCAGCCAGGGTGAAGCCAGCATGGTGCCGATCCCCCCCAGCCACCCCACAGCCCAGGGCACGCCTGACAGGAAGCCCAGGCCTCACCGCTCCGCTCACACGCTCAGATCCAGGCCACGAGAGAAGCACCGCTTCACCGCAACACGAGAGACCGTGTCTTCATCTTGAACTAGCATCCTAAAGGATTTCTGCACGGGTACCATTTCAGTTTGTGGACACCTTATTAGGAAAAAACAGATTCAAACAATTTATACATAGGGAACTAGGTATTCACAGCACTTTGGATCCTGAGGTTGAACCCAGTAGTTGTGTGAAGTTTGCATACTCCCCGTGTTCAGCTTAATCTGCATTTCTAACCCACAATAACGCATGCTGAAAAGAAACAAACGTTTTAGCTGTGGAGCTTTCTTCGGGTGTCCCAGAAGCCAACAAACCTACCAGTAGGTCTTCGGACTGTGCGAGGAAACCAGAGCTACATGCAAACCTGGGAAGGACGTATACACTCCACACAGACAGCACCTCAGGTCCAGAAGTGACCCTAGGACCCCAGCGCTCACACAGCAATGCTGACCAACACGATACTGTGGCACTGCCTTACAAATTCAATAGAACATCTCACAATGAATTTGTAAAGTGCTTGTATTTGATTTTCACATTAATACCTTCATCTTGTGACGTCCCAAAACCGATCACGTGACTTGCACTTCCCCATCAGGAGATGGGGATCGGACAAGAGGGGAATTACAGTATAAAACACTATCCTCACCAAAGGGGCGTGGTGGTTCTTTACACTGAATTGTCAGGCTGCGGTGAGAGCACTGAGGCATGGAAATCTGGCTCTAGTATAGATACGGCTATGTGCCTGTATTCAGCTGAGAATCAGGAAGCAGGTTATTACAGGCAGGACAAACAATGAGCCACATTTATGGTCCAAAGAGGAAAGTCAAATATCTTCCCACTAGAGGCAGAAGTGGACTTTAAGCTGGCAACCAAGAAGAAAAGAAACTGAAATAGCTCTGCTGTTCCACATTTATTGAGGGGATTTCTTGGACAATCGAATTCAGGGGTGCACGTTAAAGCAGGGCTGTCCAATCCTCGTCCAGGAGGGCTGGTGTCCCTACAGGTTTTCAAAATCTCTGTACAGCAGCAGCTGCTTAAGAGCTCAGGGCAGCTGTTCAATCCAATGAAGCCAGCAACCAGCTGGTTTGGCTAATACAGAGCCAAACTGGAACGAAAGCCTACACAGACACACTGCACTGGACTGTTTGTACTGAAAGTCCTGCTAGAAGAAAAAGCCCATGAATTTAGTACCTGAGCTTCTGGCCTGGCAGGACTGCAAATTCCTGCCGAAGGACACCAGGGAATCCATCTCCCGCAGGCCCTGGAGTGAACTGTGTGCAACTGAGAAACGGAATCTCAGGCCCACTGAAGTCCAACAAAAGAAAGCATAAAAAAATGTTTTTCTGGGTTTCACTACATAATCTGTAGAAGTTGTTTTTCACTACTTTCTTGAGTCATTTTCCTCATCCTTTAAAAATGTATAAAACTTATATGAATATTTGTCATGGGTGCAGAGGGGCCTGTCGGGATGTCTAAGTCCCACTGTCTGTAAATATTAGCGAACACTTTTCACGGCAACTTCTGTTATTTTTCTGTCAAAGGAAACAACTACGATATGAGCACTTCTCAGTTTTGTTTCACAAACAAACAACAGAGACCATGAAAGGCTAAAGGGACTGCAGATGTCTCCTGACCTCCAGGGGGGATATTCCTCACTTAATTTGGGCAACAACGTATCCATCCATATTCTGAGCGCGTCATCCAGTCCAGGGTGGCGGGAGAGTCGGAGACTATCCCAGTAAACAACAGGCACTAGGCCGCGGGGCAGGATACAGGGAATTGTATCCCTGCGACCCAGAATTAGAAGAATCAGTCACAGAAAGGATGGACAGATTAAGGGACTAATGAGGATCCACACAACAGAGGTTAAGCTGAATTTAAACTTTGCATTTTTCCATTTTTATTTACTATTTGCAGCCTGTTCAAAAGAAGCAGGTAGACACCACCTATCGATGTTATTCAGGGTGTACGACACTTGGACTGACAGCCACAAACGCGATGAACCAGAGCTGCCGCTGACTAAACGTTGACATAAACCAGGCGCCAGTGCCTTTTTCCAAAATAGGGGATCTGTAAACTAAGCCAGAAAAGTCCCCTCCAAGCTACACATGAGCCACAATGCAATAGTCTGCGTTTCCTCTGCAGTCAGACTAACAAACACCTAAGGGGATTAATATTCTTCTGCCTGTGTGGCTCTTTTTCTCAACAGCCCAGTATCAGACCGCTATTTTATACTACAAGAGATAACCGTCGTGTTCAGATTGTCGGCAACCAAAGTATAAAGTATTTTAAATGATGCATGAATAGACGAGGTATTTCTGGTGTTCTTTAATCTTCTAAATTCACTTTCCAGCGCGATTCTGCAGAGACCCAAGACATCCTCAGGATCCACGCGGCATGTAGGAATTTGGGGCTTCCTGTGTCTCAAGGAATGGACGTCTCCTGTCTGCCTGCCCGGGAACAGCCCCAAGTACAGCACAGCCTGAGCTGTTGCGACATCTTGCAATTCAGAGCCACGCGCTGATCCCCAGCAGGAGCACAAAGGCACTGCGCCACACAGCTGGCCATCTCCCCCCGGCTGAAGGAGAAACCTCCTCTCTGGCCCGCCTGAGGCGATCACATGCCTGAAGCGGATCTCTGCCCCTTCATCCCCACCAGTGGAGCGAGGCGGCCGGTCCACCAGAGCAGGAGGCGAAGGGGCCGGGGACCGGCTGGCACCACCGCCAGCCTCACTGGGCTCCAGCCACAAGCACGGCC